CAGTCCTGCTCCAGAGCGTCGACCATCCGCTGCCGTCCTCGTGCGCCTCGACGGAGAGGGTGCCCATGCTGTTGGCGCTGCCTCCTTCGTACATGTGGTAGAAGAAGGAGAGGGTGGCGTCCTGCTGGAGCGAGAAGGGTGGGCTCTTGAGCCGGTAGAAGGTCCACGGTTCCGCCTCGGTGTATACGTAGTAGCCCGAGCCGGTGGTGTGGTCGCCGCTCGGGCCTGTGTATGCCGTTGGAGTGCTGCCTCTCGTGCGGGTCCAAGAGTACCCGTCCGGCGTGGGATCGGTCCAGACGCAAGTGTCGACCTCGAAATCGCAGCCCAGCTGCACCATGTCGGGTAGAAGAGGCGGAGAGGGCGGCGGAGGCAGAGCCGCCGCGGCAGGCAGGCCCTTGAAGAGGAGTGCGGCTGCGCCGCCGCCGCCCATGCCGACGGCCGCGAGGAAGGCGATGAAGATGCTGAGCAGGTGGGGCTGGCAGAGGCGGCCGGGGCCGGAGAGCGGCGAGTCGAGCGAGGGCTTCTTGGGCCGATGCCCTGCTGCCCGCCCAAGAGTTTGGGCGCCCGTCTAAAAGAAGGCACCGGTGAATTCTTTTTTCTTAAAAAAGAAGCGGACTGCCACACTCACCGGCTCAGTAAGAAGGTGAATCTGCGGCAGGGAGGAGGGGCGCGCGCCGAGGGCGTGTAGGGCGGCGAGTATGACGTCTTGCTGCACGCCATGCCGCCGTCGCCACCGCCGGTCCCCTCTGCACCAAACCTGTCGGCGCCGCCGACCGTGCTGGCGGCCTCTAAAGTTTCACCGCTACGACTGGACGATATATCGAGATTTGTTCACCATGAACCTTACGTATGGAAGCAAAAGGGTTCAGACAGCATTGTAGATCCCTGGGCGAGGGTGGTGGCGTCCCCGTTGGGTACGTCATGCGGCTCTACCCTCTAGGCGAGTTCATCGCGGGCCACTGCCACACCAGCGCGCAGCGGCGCGATGCCGCCCTCCCTCGCGATCGCCGCCTTGTTGGCATCGTTGACGGCGAGGACCGCCAACGCCGCCGCGGCCTCCTCCTTCTGCGCCTCCGTGCCGTCGCGAGCCAGCGCCACGAGCGGAGCAATGCCGCCCGCCTCCGCGATCGCCACCTTGTTGGCGTCGCTGGCAGCGAGGTTGCGCAGCGCCCCCGCGGCATTCTCCTTCTGCGCCTCCGTGCCGTCGCGAGCCAGCGCCACCAGCGGCGCGATG